AAAAGTGGTGTCATCAGCAAATGAAATAGAAGATAAAATGTAACTTGATAGTAATAATAATATCTAAGATTTATGAAGCGCTGGTAAACAGAAACAGTTTCTTAACGCTTTACAAAACAAATTAAATTGAAATTACGGTTAAACTGAATATGTAATTAGGATAAAAAAGAAACGTGAAATGAACATTCCGCTTTATTGTACGAATTACTTAACTAACAATGTATAACAATAACATGATAATGAAAAATAAAAATGAAAACACAGTATTGAAGTAACATTTATGAAACTGCAATACTTATGTACATTGTATAATAATGAATTAATTACAAGGAGACAGGACATGTGGTTATAAAAACGGTATGATGATGGGGAATCATTTTGTGTTGAATAGATAGGTCTTACGTCTACGTTTAAAAGCGTGAAGAGTTGGGGATTCACGGACATAGACGGGGAGATTATTCTTAGAAGTTGCTGGAATTAAAAAATTGAGCTCAGTCAGGACTGCTGAGTGATCGGAAGGAAGTCATGATACGATGTCCATGGCCACAATATGATGATCAACCTCTCTGGAAATCAAGAGATCTAAGGTATCACCGGCTTGATGAGTTGCTCCTTTTACATGCTGCCGAAGATCAAACGTGTCTAAGATATCAAGGAACTTCCTAGCATCTCTGTCAGTTTCGTCAACATGGATGTGAAATCTCCCATGAGCACAAGGTGATGCTGATCAACGGTTACGAATTCTAACAGTGTCAGAAAATCTGCCACAAAGCTGTCATACATCAGTTTGTTTGTAGACGATGGGGGCGGCCTATACATTGCAAATGTCTTAAAAACCACAGAAGGAGAGACGGGGACCAGAACGTCGATGTGCTCAAAATATGAGAATTGTTTAGAGCAGTCTCTAGAAATGTTCAAAGAAGAGCGATATATAATGCATATACCCCCACCCCAACTCTGGCGGTGTTCATGTACCACATGTTATTTAGTAAACATTATGATCAACATAATCAAAAGCTTTGGATAAGTCTAAAAATACACTAAGTAAAAATTCATTAAGTTCATAAGCGTTCTCTAGTTTACCAATGAAATAAAGGAGACCATGGTATGTACTATAACCTTTTCTAAAAGTCAATTAATCACATAAAATATGATCAAATATTTTACTAAAAGAGATAACTGGCTTAAAAAATGGAATTACCTTCAACATTTTCATAGCATCGGAAAAAATACCTCGTTCTAAATCATTTAAAAAATGATTTATTGCCGCTTTTAAAAACGGAAATTACCTTTGCAATTTCCATAGTATCGGGGAAATCACCTTGTGTAATGGACAAATTTAAATACCAGGACTTTGATTTCATTACAATCTAAAACCACATCAATGATATCTGTGTCAGTAACAGGCCGTACAAAACAAAGAATTCTAAAAGTTACCCTTCAAGTGCTCGTCATATTTCGTTGAACCAATATTGCAGGTGATCAAATTATCAGAAGTGTGCTATCGTTTTTGACCGATTGTACACGAATAAGAGTTTAATACAATTACAATTCTTCATTTATCAATAATCTGTTCACCATCAACTTCAATATAATTGACCCCATGCTTTAATGCTTTCTGTACGTATTTATAATCTTTTTTGAATAACAAGAACCTCCATCACTTTAGTAGGCATATCCCTCGTGTAATACTGAAGATGCTTAGGTTATTTGTGTCATATGTTTACTTCGAAGTGGTGTATCAATAACTTCAATCTGTATTAATAATCCTTTTAAAGAAATTTGATTGAAAATGTTATCATACGTAAAGAAATATTGTGACGTCAAACTCAAATATATTGTTTGATGACTGTAATGTGGTTGATAATTAGACATGTTGTTTTCTTTATTGGTGAAAAAACAACAATATGTATTGGGTCAATACTGATCAACTTTTATTTTCATTTTTTCAACATCCCTGTGTTTGTCTTAATTATGTATCCATTAAATTGGTTTATGTTAATTTTGTAATCAACATGTATCATGTCCATGCATATGTTGAAACGGGAAAAATCCAAACAAATTCGATATACTATTAACTTACTGTTCGTGTTAATGTTTCATCTTTTCCAAATTTTGTAAGGCAGTGAATTTTTTTGACCAACATCTGGTAATATGATTTAATGACAACAATACTTAATTGGTCGATGCAATTGAAGCATTATACATGGAGTTAAATCACATATGTTATCATAGGCAAAATTGGCCATCAAATACGAGAGGTGTATCTACACACGCCAAGCTTGAATATGGTCTTTACTTCCTGAAAAGACAATGAAAGTTATTCGGACAGTATCCCGTTTTCTAAATGCATGATCTCTTCCGCGAGTTCATGACACCCAAGATAAAACATATTGTTGTTTATCTTTTTGCGGTGTTTTAGTTTGTGCTGTGTTACTGCTAGCTTCGACTTCCAGGAAGATGGATCAAAGTCGTTGATCCACTTGTTGATCCCCTTGATCACGGAAGTGATATTTTCTTCCAGGCTCTTTCCTCTTTTCAGATCTAGTAATTTGCAGAGATTGTTGATCTTGTCAGCTTCCAATCTTCTGCAGATGTTTCTGAGGACATTTTCGTCAGCTTGCATCTTTCCTTTTCTCCCTATGATGGGATATCAATATAATATTATTAAAGATGCCACTGTATTTCTACCGTTTAATTACTAGGATTATTTATGTTTTAGGTATATGAACAGAAGTTTGAAACGTCAAACTTGGAAATACATAACTGCCACGTAAGAGATTAAAATCGTAGATTCCCTTTTAATAGTTGAGTTGAGAATTTAAAAACAAAAATTAAATGATTTATAACTACGATAACATATGAAAATAGCTTCAGTTCACATTCTAGGCATCAGCCTACATTCGGTGAAAAGAGTTGTAGACGATATATTTGTACAAAAAACCTCGTACTTAGCAGCTTAGCTATCCGCAGTAGCGAAATTATGAATAAGGAATATCTAGACTGGACATAAAGTGCTCATTTCCATGAAAATAATTCCAAAAGAATCCCTCTAAGTTCGATTTTCTTTTCGATGTGTGTTGTGCAAGCAAATTTAGACAAATAGAAATTAAAACAAATGAAAATTGATGCAAAGATTATTAGTAAACTGGGTCTGGTAATAATGATTGTAAAAAATAATGACATGCTTTTTACTGCCTACGATAATGCATATCCAGGCGTTCTATACCTGCTAAGATCTGATCAGCAACGTCTTGTCTCCCTGCAGCCCGAAGGCAAGTTCCTATCTCACGTCTGTAGTGGTATGGTACGGGCCGAATCTGATTTGTCCATCGCCTTACAACCTCGACGAGATTAACCTGCCCCTCAGTCCCGAGGCATGCTGCTTGATCATCTTCACCCAGTTCAAGACGTGTACAGATTTGCAACCTCTCGGCATTCCATAGGACAGAAACTGTAGAGTTCAACTCACTCTGGCTCGGCTCATAATCTTAATATGCGTGGATAGTCAGGGACAGAATTATAACGATGATCATATTATTAATACAAATGATTATCATAATCATAATAATATTGACATATATATAATAATACAATGATAACAATTAAAGATACAAATGATGAAATCAGAAGTTTCCTATAAATTCATACATCTCCAAAAGCCCGAATCTGCTTTGCATCGTATTGTAATATTGTGATCATTTTATTATACGAAATGATTTATATCGCCAACACACACACATACACACACACATATATATATATATATATATATATATATATATATATATATATATACAAATACAAAGAGATATTGATGTACCTACACACGATACAATGGCACCCGTTTATGGTAAATGATATTACAGTTGCTACCATTCCCTCAATATGAAAACAGATGTATCGAAAATAATAATTGAAATGTATAATAAAAAGTTTACAGCAGAAAGCACTAGACATTACTATAATGAGGGTATAATGGATTGCAGAGGATTGGTCCCCTCTTTATGTCATTCGAGCATGGAGTGCCATTTCTTCCTTCAAGGGAATTCTAGCCATGATACAATAGTATAATACTATATTATTGGATTTACTGTTAAATATTTAATTAGGTTTTGGAAAATCGCATGATTGGTTAACCAGAATTCTAAAAAAAAACTTCCAAAGCTGTAAAAACATTTCTTAAAAGCAACGATTATTGTGTTAGCATCTGAATCGAAGCAGTTACACATACTACTACAATGTACATTTTTCTATTATTATTCGTATTCATAAACCACTGAAAATATTGTCTAACCTAAATAGACTGATCGCGCTAAACCCTCGTATCCAATATTTCTCAAAGCAAGGCAGAAATCGCGGCGGCGGTGAATGTCAGATTTGGGGGTTCTTTTCCAGAGTTGTTGCAGAAGGCCAAATGATCCTCTTTCCAGCTCTAGTGATGAAGCTTTATACTTGGTGATTTGTTTTGGGTTCATCTCGAGGGCGTTGATGAATGGGAGAACATCTCTCATCAGCAAGTTGAAAGCAATTCGAAGTAGCTCAACTTTATACAGGTATTTTGCAGGCGCCACATTGACGATGCATTCTATCAAGATACAAGACAACAATATTTCCAGCCATATGTACATATGTATTGAGGGTTCTTTCAATAGTTGTTGCAGAAGGTCTAAACTTTCATTTTCAATTTCCTGATATATTTATATAAATATAGATTTTTAAAAATATATCCAGACGCACGCAAAGACAATTTACGCACAAACACACTAACACATACACACGCATACGTAATCATCGGTTAAACAGAAAATGCAAACGAAAGGTTAACAAATGTAGTTTAATTTTTTTTTTAAATCGATATTATGGAGGTAATGATTAATGGTAATGTTTGGGAATTGAGGCCATACTAAGTTGATATTGGACGAAATTGCAGAGAATAATTCATATTTCATTGCAATGGTACCTTAAACTTCAATATATTATCGACATGAAATGCATCATCAAAGCGAATTCGATCCATTCAATGAAAAATAAGGAACGTATTTAATGAGGCCTGCAATCATGGGAGAATGAGACAATAATGAATGACTGACACACCAAGAACGAGAGTACTCAGGATTATGTATTGGCATCTAGCTCGATCCTCGACAGCATTGGTTTGTTTTGGAAAGAAAGACAGATTATATGCATTATAAGAAGCATGAAATGCTTTTTTTTTAAGTTTTGTTTTACTATCTGAATACTAGTGTTTTAATGTAAAATACCTTTTAATCCAAGTGTTTCCAGAAACTTTCGCAGTTCACTGTGGCATGTTTCCTTCTTTCGATAAAAACTTTTCCATCTTTTCAACATGAACGAGACCGAACGTGGTGTATTTGATGGCGAATCACCAACTATTTGCTTTAAGTTTTCTTCGTTTTCATCATTACCATGGATCTCTTCTGAAAAATAACACATGTTTATCATAGTTAAACGACAATTTTGTTGGGGGTAGTATTTTTAACTCCTATTTCTGTATAGTTTTGTTCTCACGGTTCTTCTTGATGGCGATTATATTTTCTTTAATTACGTTGTAGATCTCTATTTGTAATATAGACATTTCTGTACATCAAAATATTATTTGAAAGTCAATATACTGAGGTATATCGTTTTACTGAAGTGTTTCCAAAACGGAAATAAATGAAGAAATCAACTTTATAAAACATGAAGTAAACAATAAACATCGATTGCTTAAAATGTAAAAGGAAATTTAATCTTAGTACCTAATTTGGCCAACTTAAAGGGAGAAATAAGAAAAGCTGATTAGAGCACAAAATCGAAAACAAATTAGTAAGAACGTTATGAAGGTATTTGTAATTAATATTCTTTGTACTTTACACATTGGTTGAATCAGTATTATCACTGTGATATAGTGCTACATAAATCTCTTATTTGTTATAAACATATAAAGTGACAAGAACGTAAATTTTTCCCCGAAATATTTTATACAACAAAATATACAACACAATTGTATCAATCTATCAAGAATCAAGTTAAGGCCGAGTTATGTTTTCCTTGTGTCACTATTTTGATTTATATTCACGGCTAAAATTACACATATTGTATATTTCCTAAAGAGAATTTATGTCAATTTAGAATTAAAAAAAACTATATCACACTAAATAACTAAAATAATTATGGCAAATCAAAATTTACCTGATACTTTTTCCGGATGTGATACTTCATTTGATGCAGCAAGATGCGTGTTATTGCCTTCAACATCTGTTTTACTGGAATGTTCATTATTGTCTGCATGACAAGTCCCATCCACTGTGGTAACTAAAAAAAAAAAATTAAAAAAAAAACAGTACAGTTTGGTTATCTAGAAATGTATGTTTACAATACGTGAGAGACTAATATCTAGAGACTAATTACTTCATACAAATTGAACTGGAATAACATGTATATGTACAAAATTAGTATAAACGTATACCAAAAGGAAACGATTTGAAAAAAGGGCATTGATAACAATTTTAATAGAATGAAGGATGTCACTGACGTATCACCTTGAATACCATGTACATGTCTGTTGATCTTAGCTGATTTATTTCGTTCTACTTTCAGCGGATATAACGCCCGCCCCCTGCCCCACAAACCCAGCTTTGAAATTCAACATTATTAATATTGTTTTTCAATTTCACACGCGGTACACACATTTCGATTCTGAATATAAAATAGGGTGTCAATAACAAATCACTAACATGTATAGTTCATGTTTTGATGTCAATCTGCTAAATATGAGCTCCTTCAAAAACTTGTCAAAATATTTTTAACAATTCTGAATGCTTTTTCTTTGGCGCGTTCAACATTCACCACATTTTTATCATCGTTATTATCATTTAAAAAAAAAGAAGTAATTACTTTAAGTTGAACAAAAAGTGGTCTATTTTTACACTAATAATAATGTTGCCCAATGAGGAAATTATGATGTATTGTGGGATGTTTCAGTGTTTTTGGGCTATTCGTAATTTGTCCATGATAGAAGTAAATGAATGATTACCTTGTTTATTCTTGGGAGCTTCGAGCTTTTGGCTTGCCTTCTTATCCCCATTGTCGTTTCCACTTCCGGTAGCTGTTTTGTGAGGAGTTCCGCTGTACGCTGTAGAGATATGATTACCCCATATGATACTTTTAATAAGTTCGTATTTAAAGTTGCTTTCGTCAAATCCGTGTAACACTTCATAAATAAGGGCGGTCTTTAAAACTTCAGTCCAGTTAATTTTGAAAATTATGAATATCATATCCGTATGAAATCTCATGTATATCTTCGAGGCTTACTCAAGTGTTGTGTAGTAGTCTAATCGGAAAAGCAATTCTCGCTACCCTAAATAGGTACGAAAATCTCGAAATTCGCGAGACGAGGTAATTTTCACCCTCTCGGGTCGTCACTACAACTTCCGGTATAGAGTCCCATCCCGCTGGCGCTAGCGCCTGTGTTCGCTGTGCAGAGTTTTCACGCACGCTAAAATCGATGCCAATCAGTGTAATTTGTACAGATTATAATATGCAATGGAAAGCTTCGGGCAGAATTAGTGACTTTAGCACAAAAGGCCATTAAACTCTACCGTGAAAGAGAGGGTTGTGATCACGAACGCCTGCACAGGAAGCTGTAATGTCGAAAAGCTATCCCATAATGCAATGCGCGTTTTCAGGATTTTCCCCGGATCTCGGCAGAATCGCTATTTGGGGTAGCGAGAATTAACACTTAATGGCCCGAATTTACAAAGGAGGTTTAAACTTAACCGTTGGTTTGCATCTTCATTTACATAACCGATGGTCTAAAAATTAACGCAAAATAAGCGCGACGCGATCCAATATTAGATGGGTGCAAGGTAAGGTAAGCTTATTTCTTGGAATTTTTAAACCATGGGTTATGTAAATATGGGTTTAATGTGGGTTAAGTTAAACTTCTTTTGTGAATTCGAACCAATAACACAACATCGAATGTGCACGGTTGTTTTTTGCAGGATAATTTCAAAGATCACTGCAGTGTAAAAGTTTGCAATGCAATATGTTTTGGGTTACCCCTTAAAATGCACTATTGTGACTAAACTATAATTCATGTCCAATTTAATTTATGTCATCAACAAACACTGTCAAATGTGGATTAATGTGGCAAAGGACTTTAGCGCCGGGCTGGGCTTTGGACCTTTAGCCCTTGGATTAAGAGTCAAGTCAATGAACTACTGATTTGGCCAGATATCTCAAAGTATATATGTACATACATACTGAAATTATTTGATACGATTTTCGGCTAAACAAAACCAAGAAACCAACAAGATACATACAGTCTACTTATTAACCATACTGCTCAATGTCTCTTCTGTGGTGATAGTGTGTGTGTGTGTGTGTGTGTGTAGGTGAGGAGTATTTATTCTTGCCTTTATCGGTGTTTGCTTCAATCCGTATTGCATGTTGATGCTGACTTGGCTGCAATTTCGTGTTTGCTGCATTGATGAATTCGGCTGCTATTTCCAATTCTTCATCCGTTACCTCAAACCCTACAGAGAAAGTTTTCAAAAATTGTTCATTTCAAAGAAACAATATATCGTAATTTGTTTAGATCCACTTTTTTAGTGAAAATCTTAACTTTATTAGCAATCTTTTACCTTTGTCTATTCAGACCTTCTACATCTACCATAGATCATTAAATCATGCATACAATCTTTCCAACCAAAGCGGCGACATGGTAACTGTTTAACAATGGAAATAATAAGAAGGAAAACAAAAAAATAAAGTGCAACAATCACCAAGACAAATTGACCCTTGATGTATGGGGTTCCTTTTCCCTCTATGAACTGTATTTAAAGCTTATCTGCCGAAGTTTACAGGAGGGATTAGACTGCCCTGCAAGGTCACTGGACAGGTGGTTATCTCATCAACTCAGCTCTCAGTTAACATAAGAAAAAGAGGATCATGGGGGGCCAATGGTCACCGATTAGGCATTGTTTGTTACACAGAGGGCGCAAGTAGCTACAAGAAGTGCAGTGGGCCTTTAAAGGATGTACATATTCAGTACCATCAAAACACACAATCACACCCACACACTCAAATCTGCATAATCATTACATTGAATGAGTAAAGAATATCTTATCGTTTTGGGTGTATAATAGGAACATTTGTTTTAATAGTTGTTCCTCAATTCCAAAATAAATTATGTAAGAGAACACATGTTTATCGTACCGCGACAATTAGCCTTTGTTAAGGTTAGTTGGAAGCGTGTAGCAAGCTTTTCCAGTGGCTCGTATGAAGTGTTTGTTGCCGAGATCATGTTTTCCCAATCTTGTGGTTCAAGATGTTTTTCGTCTTTTCCGTCTACGTTTAGGGAGATCAGCATTGGTTTGCAGAAATATGCCCTTCTCTCTTTCGGAAGGAATGACACAATTTCTCTTATGTCATCAATGTAGGCACTCTCATGACCTGAAGAAAAACACAGATTAGACGAATGTTTCGTGTGCTATGGAAGAGGTCAATCGCTCTTCTTGCCACGTCCGCCCCCCCCCCCCCCCCCGACTTCAAAAGTTCAACCAGCTCTCCGGGATCCCATACTCACAAGGTTGTACGACACGTGCTATTGAGACACAGAGTGCTCCATGGTAATTTCCTACACTAACCACTTAACGTTAACCCTAGCCCTAACACTTTACATAACTGAATACCGAATCCAAATCTACCCTAAAATCTACTTCAACTATAAAGCTCACGGGGTACTTGACAAAATGAAGCCTTGAGCAAAATGTGCCGGAACTTAGCTCTCTCCCCATAAATTTCAATTTTTGTCAGTTTGGCCTATATTTTCGAAATTCGGAAACATACGGAGAGCCTCATTCTTTGACCAGGATGAAACACTTTAAGGGACCTTTATTCATCAATTTCCGAGGTATGAGTACAGATACCTACTACCCTACAACTTACTGAACTGATGGGGATAAGGGTGTAATCCTCCAGGGTCTTTTCCGATTGAACGGTTATGGTCGTTTACTCCAAAACAATCTGTACGATGAGGCAAAATAATGGAATTAAAATGCAAATAATTCATATTCATCTCTGTTTCCAAAGAGGTATGAAATCACATTAATATAATATGATGATTACATGGATAAACGAATGACTCATTTCGAGACACATACTGTAAAGATAATGGACCATCTACGCTTTATTTACAAATGATCGCTAGTATTAATACCGTATTAATCTTTCCAAAATTTTATGTCTCTAATTCATTCTAATGGACTTCTATAACAAGTATTTTTTAAATCGTGTCAAGGTGAAACGCTTCTCACTAATCAAATCATGACGACCAATCTCGATAACTGCTTGAGTGAGTCTACATCTCTTGTCATAGTGGCTGCATTGTTGGCGATCGATCCAGTCACGAATCATTGACTGGGTGTCAAACAACGATTCCGTGTTTTCATCTATGGTTGCGGAAATCTTCTGATCATCGGAGACTCCTGTAGCCTTTGCCAATCGTCTGCAATGTCTACCAGTCAGACTATGGACACACGCCTCCACTTCATGTGTAGATATAGGCTTCTTGAGATGATCAGGAACTGGTTGAGAGAATAATAACAATGAAAGCGATATATGATAACTCTCACTTTAAAGTGAACACCTTAATTTTGTATAATTCTGAACTTTTTTTTCTTCAAAGTTCGTCTCGAAGTTCGTCGTGCGAAAATTAGACCCGTTCAGATTATGAGGATCATCAGGGATAGTCCCGACCCTTCTTTACAACAGACGCTTGCGGAATTCCTGAAAAGGATCAAACGAGACCAAATCTTCTCTGTGTATTAATGGATTTAAAACAATACTTCAAGTGTTAAGGCAAACATTACAAATAGTTTCTACAGTCAAGTATACGTGTTTACCTGTAAAGAATTCTCTATCCAAAGGGATGCATCCTGCTGTCTCAAGAGCTAGGCTAAGCAGGACGAGAGGATTTTGCTGAAATGGACCAGCCCTCCATTTCCTCAGCACCTGTGTTGCTACTCCGATTGATTCTTTAGTCACTACTTGGCTGATTTGCTGATTCTTTCTTTCAGGAATCAATTCGCTTAGGAGGTCTTCTACCTTCCTGGGATTTTGAATATGCCACAGGATGTGACTCAGTGTGTCATCAGGCACATTAGCATCCCTCTTCTCGCGAAGGCCTTGAAGAAAGACACACTTGTAATTCAGTGATAGTCCTATTCACAATTTCTTATTTAAATAGTTATTACAAGATCACTATCACATGTATAACAATGTGATATAGTATTACAAGCAGAAACGGGATTGGAAGGGGATAAGAAGGACATTTGTCTTTCTATTTAAATCAGTCGTCTGAGGAAAATTGTGTTAAATATGACCCAAGATTTTTTACATGACAAATACATTATAATAGATTGGAATATCGATGATAGCGCGGCATATATGCGCATTTATTCCATTTGCACATCGTTAAAAATGAAACTTACAAGAATGATTTTTTAATATTTTGTATTTAATATTTAAATATAGATACAAGGGGTATTGATATTTACAATGCTCAGCAAAACAATTACGTTGTGAAAATAATTTTTTTAAAATTTTTTTTGTGGGGGGGGGGGGGGAAGTATGTCTGTTTCGGATTTTTATGTTTACTGTTATCTATAATTGGGCATACGTGTTATCAGCGTGTGTGATATAGTGACATAATAATAATAATAATAATACAAATAATTATTAATTTAGAGAGGGCAGAAATTATCCAACTTTAAGTAAGTATTCTACTGTGCTACAAGAGCGCCTGATATGCTTAATTGCACAGTTAATTGAAAAGATGTGTTTTCAATTTTGATTTAAAGGTATTTAGAGATGGGGATTTCCTGACTTCAAATGGTAAGTTATTACAGAGTTGCCTCAAATAAGTAAACATCTTTGAGTGACCATTTTTACCATACTCATTTTCCCATTATATCGTAATGTTATAAACACCGTTGGGAAAACGGCTTTTGACATTTCGAATTCCTGTCATAAATATCTTTATAATCAAAAGGGCGATCGGCTCGTAAACGTCAAGGGATTCCTGAATGACTTAAAAGTTTATACTTGTGATTGCAGCATGAGCTTAATAAATGGTTTTGTTTAGAATCTGAGACAAAGGTACCCAATCCCTTTTAGAGGGATCCGGTAACTTTGTCTTAGATCATTAAGAAATAATCTTTGATTTAGCTCATGCTGCAATGATAATTATAAACCTTTAGGTCAGTCAGGAAGTCCATGACTTTTACAAACCGATCGCCTGTCTGATTATCAAGATATTAATGATTGGAATTACAAATCTTGAAAACCGTTCGCCGAACGGTTTTCATAACACTACAGTCTGTTGGGGGAAATGAGTATGGTAAAACCGGTCACTCAATTTTGTTTTACTTTTTTGAGGCACTTCTTGATCATTTTGAAGCGCGATTTCTGTAGGGCTTCAATATTACACCATATCACAAACACTTGTAACATGTAGGACCGTGTATCTCAGATTTAACATTGTTAAACGATCCCTTTAATCTTTTTTTTCGAATGTTATTCTGTTGAATCGCTCAGTTACGATAAAGTATATATTTATACAGAGGACATCCTTACCATAAATGTGCTCCCATACGTCTGTCAAATTGGCTGCGCATAATTCATCTCTCAGAAGGTTCATCTGGTCGTCATGTTCCTTGTTCCTCCATTCACAAAGGCCTTTATAAATCCCATATTCGGTAGGGTTCACATCGTTGATACCCATGGTGTTAAGTAACCTTTGCAGCTTTATTATGTTGTCCTGTGAACCGTCGTAAGCCACTGACCAGAGCTCAAAAAAGGATACTCTCATCCCTGCAACACAGTAAAATATATGTTATATTTTATTTAATTACATTAAGATAGGAAATGGCTCTACCAACAATATCCATGACCGAAAGAAATACACAAGCTTTGAAAGAATGTCTAAAATAGATTATTTATTATTTTAACTTTCCCCGCTTCTCTAGTTAAACCCCTGTCAGCGAATGTTTTTTTTTTCCATGGGTAATGGGGTAATTAAAAGTAAAATAAAAAATAAAATAATTATAACAGGCACTACGAGCAAAGGGATTCAGACACATATACAAGGGCACAGTATGTATTAGAGTCCCTATGAACGTTATCCAAAGAAATTAATCACATGAAATATATATATATAGGGTTTAAGGCTATATTGGGTAATGATTCTACCTGTAAAGAAAGTTCTATCGACTGGACGGCATTCTGCTTCCTCCAACGCAATGCTTAATAAGACCACCTGGTTCTCATTGTCTGTTGTGGAGCTCCATTCCTTCAGTTCGTTCACCATGTCCTGTTTGCGGATGCTTTTCACACTTCCTGGCGTCTCTGGATTGTGTGTTTCTCGTCCGGGGATCAGCCTGTTGAGGAACCTATTCTTGAGTTGATGATCATCAATGCTCCGCATGATCATTTCACATAGGTACTCAGATACCTTTGAAGACGTGTTTGCTCTTTGTTCTGGTAAAAAGGGAAAGAATGCTATAATAATCGATCATTATGATAAGGATAATAATATCAAGTTCTTGTATAGCGCTCACGTATGTCAGATTCGAGACTCCTAGCGCTCCATATACAGTGCGCCTCATAACTAAATACGTAACTCTAAACACAAATGGTGATTGTGAAAACAGTATGAGTTGTAGAAAAACAATTTCTTTGTTTATTGAAACAGACAGACTATGCTTCCAAGTGAAAATATTGCCTATTCTGAAAGGATAATTACATTTTATAATCGTTTAGTTTCTGCCTTATGTACGCATTGGACAAAACTTATCCCCCATTATAAAAATGTGAGGTGCCCCTTATTTTGATCATTGTGGAAATACCACGGGGCTCTTATCTTCGCTCTCTTAAACAGTAGCAGTTCTTACGAATTCTAAAATCACTGTTCCTGTCTATTATAGACCATGTTGCGTACAATATACCCTTTTCTTTCACCGTCGACATCATCCCTTACTGCATGCGGATAGCTAAAATCTTGTCCTCCTTAGTAAAAGAAACACATGTAAACAATCTTTTGATTCATTAATTCGGTTTTAAAGATAATGTTTACTACATGTCATGCTCGGTTAATGTTTGGTGAAAATCACCTCTTGAAACAATAATGCATACACGCCCATTTCGGCTGCTTTGATTAATAGCCCAGTTCAAAGAAAGTCATTAATATTTCATGAATACTGCCATAGGATATTTACCACTCATATCCCAAACTCTCTCAAACTTTGCTTTCTCTAATGAATCCCTAAGTATCATAGTTTGATGTTCCCTGGTAGTATTGTCCTTCCAGCTGCAGAACAATGTGTATGCCCGCTGTTTGCTGAGGTCTCCTTCGACATCGATGCCTAGTTCCTGGAACGTACGACGAATCCCCGCTATATCCAAACATGTACTCTCCGTGTTGTGCAGCATGCACCAGATCTCGTAGAATGACAAAGTACCTGCACGACGAAGATGATAAAGATTTCTTTGTCAACTATCCAATTTATAACAAATATTATTTTAACGACAAAATATATATGTTCCATTCCTCAATATTTCCATAAAAAACATTGCTTTATTTCTTAACAAAGTACATTTCGTATAATTATACATGAATAAGAAACGAAGTGTTGGTTGTCATCTTAAGAGACGTCACATTTTTTATGGCATTCAATAAATTGTTTTGTTACAACGCTTTTCATGTCAAGTATTTTAGCATCATAATATCATACGTTTACACTCGATAAGTTCTTACGTGTAAAGAATGTCCTATCGATTGGACAACATCCTGCGTCTTCCAAAGCAAGGCTTAATAAGACCATCTGGTTCTCACTGTCTGTTGTGGAGCTCCATTCCTTCAGTTCGTTCACCATGTCCTGTTTGCGGATGCTTTTCACACTTCCTGGCGTCTCTGGATTGTGTGTTTCTCGTCCGGGGATCAGCTTGTTCATGAACTTATTCCTTAGTTCTTGATCATCAATGCTCCTTAATATCCTTTTCAGGGTGCCTTCAGATGCTTTTTCAATCACCTTTGACCTTCGTTCTGAAAGGAAATAATTCCGAATTCATGCACGAAACACGAATTAGTAGTGCTTCGATTGTTAAACGATACAATTTCAAATTCCTCTAGGTTCAGTTCACTCCGGATAAACTTGGCCAAAGTAATATATCACATAAAGCAAAAAGATAACATGGAATGTAATGAACTTAAGATATATAATAACCATTGATTACTAGAATGAAATACGAAATCACAAAGTTTATTTTGTTTAACTTTCCTTTACACGGTACTATAGATTGAGTGGACGAGAACGGCGTGAACGTCCACTGATCGTGTGAGTCCTTAACATAGGGGAAACAATCGCCGTGCGCGGGCTCGCTCTCAAAGGGTTAATTGGCAAGCCGTTTTAACATTTATTCATATTTCTGGATTTGGATTCTTGATATCAAAAAAATATTTTTTGTTGTAAAGCAATTGTAATGCTTGATATCAGGAATTGAATTGTTGATATCACGAATTAGGATTAAATGCTATAACGGCTTGCCATAGACAAGCATGATCAGTGGACGTTCATACCGTTCTCGTTCCGTTCTAAAACTCCTTAACGATAAATGAAGAGGACTATGACTGCCAGAAAAATATTGTGTTGTACCTGTTCGTGAAACATACAATTTTAAGAATACTAACCTATTATTTTCCAGGCCTCTTCATATCTGGCTTTATAGAAAGCATCTCTGATGAGCTTTGCCTGATCGCCTAAGGTAGTCCGGTCTTTCCATTTACAGAGAGCGCTGTAAGTCTGCCATTTGGTTGAATTCTCCTTGACATCTTCTACTCCTAGTTCAGTTAGCGCACGGCGTATTCCAACCATATCAATACCATTGGTGTTGTAAAGTAGTACCCAAATTTCGTAAAAGGACACGTTCCCTGTGAGTTTGGCAATAGAGCAAAAACATGCAACGAAATAAATTGAACTTGACAAGTGTTATCTCCCTCTTTCTCTCATTGAAACAATGCAACCATTAAATCAATATCCCTTCCACAACAATTTCCGTACTACCCCATTGCAAAACTCGAATACATATAATGCTACCAAAGAAAGTTCCATCGTAATTGTACAAACATTGAAAGTTGTAACTATAACAAAATGTAAATTATAAGCTTTCTACATTATATGAAATAGGTGTAAATTTGTACAGTACCTTTTTCTGGCTCTTTTTCCAGTATAGGAATCGACTCAGGGTCTGTGTCTGGAGGGTTGACAAATCATGTAATGCAATAATAAATAAACACAACTGGTATTAATACACGATTGGCGCAAATGAAACTAAATATTTGAAATAATACATTTATGAAGTAGCTTGTATAGATAGACATCCAATTTGAGGTCCCGAAACATGAATATTTTGAGGTCCTACCCCCCCCCCCCCCCCCGAAAACCATTGTCTTACCAAATGTTGTTTTCATTTAGATTAGTGAATGTTTAAGGATAACTGACAAGGTGAGTACAATTTTCCGAAGGGTAAAGAAAATCTCCTTATTCATCATTGTCAAAATATATTTGCTCGTTTTGTATTTATTTATTCCTGTTATAGCAAACTTGTCGGATATATTTGTCCAACAGCCCTACACCTGGTTTAACTTTTCAAAGGGCTAGCCTGAGTACCCTACTCTATTTATAGGTTGAGGAATCGTACAATTGTCTTGTACACTTGGAGTAGCTACCGAGGTGCTATGGATATGATATGAAGGGGTGCTATAGAAGGGTTTTTAGAAAATACAAATTTTTCGAGGAAAATTAGGAATAGAAGTATGGTGAATCGGAGGAACGTGACAAAATGGTTAGCCCAAACAAGTTTACTATTTCTCTGGTTAGTTCATGTCCATGATATCTTGACACTACCTCGACCCAACCGCCATTCGGTCACTCTCTTGCAGACTATTTTATCCTGTGATGTGTCCAAATAGAACATAGATACACGATTCAAAACGAGAATAGTTATAAAAGTGAGTGTATTTACCCTTGGTCTGCCGATGTTTTTTCCAAAACACGAAAGCAAGAAGAAAGCAAGTCAATAATATCACAATCAGAAATATCATCACAATAGGCACGACTGTAATAGAAACATAATGAAGGTTGTTACTCTCTGACGAAGATGTTCTGCCTTGTTGCATAACAAAAATAGACCACCTGCACAGGACTCGTTGAAATAATTGATAGAAAGAAGATTATACAATTTTTGCAACACATAACAACATGTAGTTGCATATCCTCTAGTGTTCTGAAGTGTTGATATTTGGTATATGTGTTATCTAGTTCTTCCTGTTACAAAAATTGTCAAATAAGTGGCATTGCGGATAAGTACACAACAAAAATATTCAGTAAACACAGTTGACCTACTAAACTACATATAACTAACACTAACAAGAACATTAACACTAACACTACGTGCATGTTCTGTAATATTAAAATGACTTATTCACATAATTGCGACTTAATTACTATTTTCATATTGTCATTACTGTTGAACTAGGTTAAAGATATATGTTTATTTTGTTAACGAGCACTATTTGTTAACTGTTCTGTATAAACGTTATAAAAGGTGTAAATATGTTCATGTTTATTCAGGGTCCCATGGAAGACCACTACTTATTGGTGAATGGGCTACCCTGTCAAAACATTAAAAATAAATAAATGAATAAATAAATGAGCATATTGTACACTTATTCGTATTAAAAATGTCCTGAAAGGACGAAATTTCGGGTGGAGGGTATTACTAGATGGCGATCCCCATTACAAAATATAAAAGTGTCAAAGTTGTGTATAGTTTATTAGAAGACCTGAACATTACACATATGCATTACGATCATTCTTCATCGTATAGTGCTATAATCCGTAGTCGGTCTGCTATATATATTGTGTATAGTTCTTGCTAGTCTGTACTCTACCTCTTATCTTTACTCCCAGAGCTCTTCGTTTTCTGTCACCTTCTCTCTCTCCCTCACATTTCCTTTTTTCTACTTCAAACGACTTCTCTCTCTCTCTCTCTTTCATTTGTTCTTGTTTCTGTTTTTTCCTCATACTCATACCGCGAGAGAAGGGGTGAAGTTCAGAAAACATTCATTTCATTTGTTTCATGCATTCTGTGCATAGTCGAGATTCAATTTTTAATGCAAGTTTTTTTTTTTTAATTTACATGTCAGTTTTGTTATTGCTATTATTATTGTTGTTAGTATTGTTGTATCTGTTTTTTGGAACAATCGAATGTATATATTGTTTATGTTTATGTTGCTTTTATATGTATGCCACTCGCCAGTGGAGGATGATTTTTTGTATTTGTTTTAATCAGACAATGAATTATCTTGAATCTTGAAACTTAAATATATAATTCAGTGTCATTTAACAATTATCACCTACGTCAATATAATGATGTTTTAGTTACAACTTGCCTATTCAAATTAGTTCTAAACCTACTTAAATATTCTTACCAATATGGGAAACATGTTTTTCACTTTCCACAATATTCGTCGCCACAATATTCGTCGTATACAGCGGTGTTGTTTGGTCTTGAAAGGATGAATTATGTAGATGTGTCTCGGATGCGTTGGTATCGTTGGAAACAATGGGAGCTACTAAAGCCGTAACAGTTCTTTGGCTTGTTGATCCAGGAATGTCTGAGGCTACACAAACATACTGTGTTTCACTGACTTTAGCTTTGATGGAGATTGATTTGTTCTTCGTTCCATCATGGTTTACTGCTTCCTCGACATTCAAGATATCAAGTCTGTTCGCGCCGTGTAACATGAAAAGATCTACGTCCGGATAGTAACCATAAACAGAACAGGTGATGTTGATAGGGTGTATGGTGTGTATTACACAAGATTGTCTCGAGCTGTTACATCCCTCTATCACCGGGTATGGTTCCTTCGGGGAAGCTGTAGTATCAGGAAAATCAACAGATAATGAAAGCATTAATAGTTAAGCAATACAGTAGGCAGGTAGCCAATAACAAGTTATGTTGTCATATTCGTTTATTTATTTGTATTGTGTTTGGGTGGTAGAGTATGAAGAATGTCGTTGTAAAGGTTTTTTTTTTAACGGTAAGCCTGACAATTAGGTTTCTTGTTTCAATTCTTGTTGGTAATGTATTACGATTTGAATAATGTATAAAATATGTTAACCTGTTTGACAAGTGAGATAATACGATACAGTATTTAGAAACATGTTAAACAAATTATTTATACAGAATTATTAATTCTTTAATGTTGGTAAATTTTTGGAGAAAGGTGTGTGTATTTTGTTTTGCACAACGATGTAAATGATGTATTAGATACGTGTGCTTTAGAAGTATTTATTATTATCATTATTATCATCATTATCTTCTTCCTTGTAAAACAAGTTCTTTAATCATATTTATGTTCCTACTTATAAGTTGTATTGTTTAGAAGAAAATAAATGTTCATTTGAATTGAATTAAATTGAATTACTATTATTATCATTAGAGGGATACATGCATGTTTGAACGTGGCAACATCATCTCACCAAATACGTTTAGGTCTGTAAAATTGTGGATGAGGATTCCCAAATAGTTTGATACTCTGCAGATGTATCGACCTTGATCTGCTATCTTCACTTCATTTATGATTAAGGAAAAGTCATCATGCATCTCACACGCCTTGTCCTGAACACATGACCCCGATGGCGTCTCTCCTTCAACCCGCGTGATCACGTTTGGAGCTTGAGTCGGATCGTATCCTTTTTTCCAGTAGACGGCTATCGGGGTTCCGTAAAAGTGGCATTTCAGAAAAGCTCTATCTCCTTGAAGGACAGTCTTCTTTAAGTCGGTGAAAACAACACCGTCTGGCACATCATTAGCTGAAACTGTAGCGAGAAGTTAAATCGAGTTTATTCGACCACACTTTTCGTCAAAATGAAATTGTTAAGAAACA